AAATAGAGCAATTTGTGTATTTTCAATCGATTTAACTCACTTTTAAGCCTGAAATCAACCTGAATGGATGCTTTTTTTTGAAAAACTTTATGTACTTAATTGATAATATTTTGATCGATCGATCAAATTCAATAAGGGTTTATTATTTTAAAAAAAACTTTAGGTCATAGGGTTTTTAAATTAAAATTTAAAAGTAAAAAATTGAAACTTTCGGTGGCAAGTTTGTGGTGGGCCCTGGCCCCCTGGGCCCCTCCCCTGGATCCGCCCTTGACTTCAATCCCAATTTTAGGCGGAAATAAAGCAATTTGTGATATTTTTTATCGATTTGGTTTAATTTTAATCCGGACATCAACCTGGATCAAAATATTTCAACAAAATAATGGCTTAAGTAAGAGTTTTCTTCCAAAATAAAGCAATTTGAGCTATTTTCAATTTAATTTTTCTCGATTTAAATACAGAATTAATTTAAAATTACTGTAATTTATAAAAATAATTGTTTCAATCTTAATTTTAGGCTGAAATAAAGCAATTCAATATCATATATTTAACGATAGTTCTATATCGTAGAAATATGTCGTAATATATTGCACTTTCAACCAAATCAAATAAGGGCCGATTTAGTGAATGGCACTTATATGAATAGGGTTTCTAACCAATTTCCCTAAACGGATGAATGCAGACTCAACCACCCACGACCTTACAATTATTTCTAAATTCGTACTTCGAAAACAATGCTCTCTTACAAACACTAAAAATAACTTAAACTTCAAAGCATAGAAACCACCAAGTTACATTTTGTTCTTTTGTGTACATCTCGAAAAATAGAATTAAATCTTAAATACATTTATAAATAGTAGAGAATTTATTTAACCATAGCCACTCCTTTTACCAGTAATTCAAACTTCAATATTGCTTTAAATAAATAAATATCTTGATCAATAATTAAGTCAATTGCTCTTTTATGCGAGCTTAAAAGTAAGCTTTAAAAAAACTATATAATACCCTTTTACTTTGAAAACGTTCATCGTATTCTCTTTAGGTTTTACTGAAGTAGTTACAGGATATTACAAAACTTGTGCAAATGTGAACTTTAGTTTTATCAAGTGGCGTTTCAAAATAACACCAGACCACAAATTTAAAACTTTATTTGTACTTCAAATAAAAAGTGGTTTTTATAGTAAGTATAGGATCTGTTAAATTTTAATATAACGTCGGTGTGGTTGTACCACGTAAGTTTACTAAAATAACATAAGTAACTTTTGACACTTTTAGGTATTATTTTAATAAATACAATTATTTTAACAATTTAAAAGTACTGGATAAAAATGTAGTGATATATTTTTGAGATTGTAGGTATAAAAAAAACTGTTTTATTTATCTTACGTGTCAATGAAGTATACCTAAAATCAGTTAAGTACCTACCTAAAATGCACTTTTTTGCGTCTACGTTTAGTACCGTTAGAAAGAATTTTAATTTTCTAAATTATAATAAATAAAATAATAGTCATTGTCCTACGATAAATAGTTATCGACTGTAAAAAATTATCCCTTTATCCCGAAAAAATTAAATTTTTTAACGAGAATTTGATTGCTTGGTAAATTGACGACACAAACCGTGGTGGTTTGTGAAGTCAATTTAATCAAAAAAAAAAAACAAATTAGACTTAAAAAAATCAATTTTATTCTATAGAAAAAACCTCGATAATTTAATAAATAATAAAAGAAAGAGTGACTTGAAGCTTTAAGCTGAGAAAACCAGCTGAAACCAGCAAAAAGCACTTTCCGCCGTAACGTACACAATGTTTTTCAGGCGAAAATGACAAATATGACAAATATCGCAAAACTGACAAATATTTTTTACTTTGTCGAGCGTTGCCATTATTAGTCATACCCGTAACTCTACTGTCCTGTTTTAAGATACTCAACAAAGAGACGGTTTCTGAGGTGATAAAATGTTCAACAAAGCTTACTTTCTGAAGTGATCGCCTGAAATAGTTATTTTAAAATAACTATTTTTGGTATTATTTTACTATTTTTATTTTCAACCAGTATTTTCGAGGAATTAATTATATACAGTATGTCCACGGATTGCGTTTACAAGAGGAAAACAATTTTTATTTTAAGCCAAAACTGCAAAGGAAAAACATTTTTTTCTTCACCTAAAACGAGCAAATTTGTACTTAAAACTTCATTATTCTAACTCAATAGAAAGAAGAGTTAATTTTTCCTTGATTCGGCGGTTTTATTTATTGACAACTATATGCCACTTTGACAATTAATTTATTAATTAAATAATCATAGTTTTTGTTAAAAACGACTTTGGTTTTTATCTCAAAGCTATTTTTTGAGTTGCTATTTATTAAGTCCAAAATCAAGAAAAAAATGGGCTTTTCTTTCTACTGAGTTAGAAGAATGAAGTTTTAATTACAGATTTGCTCGTTTCAGGTAAAGCAGCAAAAAATGTTTTTCCTTTGCAGTTTTGGCGTAAAATCAAACATAAAAATTTTTTCCTCCTGTAAACTCAATTCGAGGACATACTGTATAATATGCGGTTTAAACGTGTTTTTGAGAGATTTAACAAAAAAATATATTTGTAACAAGTAACCAACAAGTTTTCGAGAGCTCATCCGCTATTCCAGACTCGGCTTCACCTCGATTAGAATTAGCAACAATTCTAAATATTAATTATTAATTTAATCAGTTATTAATATAATTAATTATTAAATATTAATTATTTTTCTAAAGTTAGCCAAAATTTAAATATTGTTTGTTAAGATATTTTATTTTGCAGTCAAGTTAAACGTATTTCTGGTATAAAAATTCTATTTAAAATAATAATAATAAAATATTAGAAAAAATACAGGAAAAAAGTTATTCGTGATCAGCGCACACAAAAATAACAGAATCAGTTAAAATTTTACAAAGGACAAAACTCTTGTGTAGTGTAATTATTGTGTTTTTTTTTTTAAATAAACTAAACTTTAAAACAACTTTAAAACTCTTGTGTAGTGTAATTATTGTGTTTTTTTTTTTAAATAAACTAAACTTTAAAACAACTTTAAAACTCTTGTGTAGTGTAATTATTGTGTTTTTTTTTGGTATTATTTATTTTTCCAGAATGTTTCATGATACAAATTGATTTTTATCTGTTATCTATAAAATTTGTACATATCTAAACGTTGTTTTGTAAATACGGAACAACTGTAAATTACGTTGCCAACAAATCTTAAATCTAAGTTTGGTAACTATCAAATTTAAGTTTTATTAATTTTGTTGTTGTTCTTGTACAAAAGACGGCCACTAACGCAAAAATACTAACTCTCATTTTACTAGTCTTTTAATACAAAAGAGATGAGAAAATTTTAAATATTGTCGTTTTCTATAAACAGACAACATAAGTATTTAATTATTAATTTCAATTTTGAACAGTCAAAAAATTAACACAAATTCGGCTTGGACTGATTATATATACATTTCGTTCGTACATTATATTAATGCTTCTTTATTTTTTGACGATACTACTTTTTATTAAAAACAATGAAATCAGTTTCGCTTATTTTTTACGATTTCTCTCAAATTTTCAATTAGCAACTACACTGAGCTCTAATAAAAATAATCTTCATTAAAGGTCTTTAGATATAATTTTGAAATTTTCTCCAGAACCGAAGAACACTGTCTCCAAACGGAAGTCGCCCCGGCCAGCCAAAACCCCATTTGGAATGCAAATCTGAGCTTTCCCGGCGTTCCCGGTGACGAACTTATGGAGCGCGTCCTGGAAATAACCCTCTGGGACCTAATCCCTCACAACGAACACGCTTTTCTCGGCGAGTGTTCCGTCGACCTGCAGAAAGCCTTTCTGGATGACCGAGCCGTCTGGTGCCGTCTGGAAGACCCCAGACAGCTGCGAGGCAAATCTCCCCATACCTCGCCGCGAGGATCGATCGCGGGTGCTGGAAAACGCAACGATTTCGGCAACCAAAGAAGCATCTCTGATGACGTCGACTCGATAGGCGAGTGTGCCAGTCTGCTGCATCCGGACCACGCATGGGGCTCCAGACGGGGCTCGAGCCAATCGGAGCAGCTGGAAGTGGAGGTGTATCAGCTAGGGAAGGACTTTTCCAGGTCGCTGCCAGGCTCGAGGAGGTCGTCGTTCCAATCGGCCCAAGAGCAAGCGGAGCAAGATGGGCCCGCGGTGCCGCCCCCTGCCTCCTACAGCAGAGACAGGAGGCGAAGCAGCTGCACGAGAATGCTGAGGGATCCGGAGGAAATACTCAAGTCGCTGAAAGCGGTCAAGGGAGAACTTGGAAGAACTATGAGCTTATCGGCGGAAAAGAGACACAGAAGTGAGTTAATAATTTATCGCATTTTGTACTTTGAGCCCTACTTATGTTTCTAACACTACTGCACACTTCACACACTCTCCATCAGACTTTAAAAAGCTCTCAAAGTATCGCTTTCTTTGAGCAAATTTAACGACGCTTTATTACTTTATGCAACTTCTATGTAATGGTTGTWATCTGATTTAAGTATATTTTGGGAGTTTCTAATTATGTGTTAATGGTGCCTCATGCTTTCTAATAATATTCCTTTCTCTTCTTACACATTTTAAACATTTAGCGGATCTATAACCGCATATTGGTAAGATATTCACTAATCAGCACGTATTTGCACCTCTTTTTACCAAAATATTAATGTAAAGCTTTTTTTGGTAAAGAGTCATGTGGTACATCCCTTGTGCTTGTGTGATGTCGTTACCCCTTGCTTATGCTATTTCACTTACTGTCTATTCAATTAAATGTATCGTAAATTGTTTTGTTATCTACATTTTCACCAAAATCACATAAATACAGGCTGTCCCAGCGAGTTGAAAAAGTCCATTAACATTTAAATGATAAAATTAAAAAAAGGACATTGATAGATACTAATTTAGTTCACCACCTAAAATTATTTTCAACTATACAGCGTGTCTCAAAAATAAGTTACAATACAAAGTTGTGTTTTGTCAAATGAAACACCATATGTTTCTTAGCGTTTTTGGATGTAGGTTTTTATGACAGGGTTTTTAAACTTTTATTAGTCGATTTTACTTAGTTTTATAAGACGGTTTTTTTGACGAAAACATGCACTTTTTAAAAATTTATTACACAAAAACTAAGACATCTACAAATATTTTTTTACTGCTGCAAAGAAAAAAGTACAAGCTATAAGGTTGTAACATTTTTTTGCATTTGCAAAGATAAAAAGTTCAATAACTTAAAAAATTTAAATGGAACACCCCATTTATTGTTTTTGCATTTAAAAGATTATTAAATTGTCTTTCTAAAATTATTACTTTTAGGTGTTATCATCAATAACTAAAAAAAATTGACGTTAAACATTAAAAAAATAATTACTATAGTTTCAGTAGCCAAAAAGTGCACAGTTGCACAAGAGATGGAAGAAATATCACTTAATAATTACATTTGTGTTAAACTGAATCYATTATTCTTTATTTTTACAATAAAATAATTCGAATTTCAGTATGTATAACGACTTCTACAATCTCTGGATCAATCAACGGATAAGTGATAAGTGGAATTACTACGGTTGCCATATTATCAATAATGCCCAAATATTGATAATCATTGTTGCTACAATTAATATTGAATGTTAAATATTTTTTCATTTATCAATTCTAGACATTAAAAGTTTATTTTTTTAAATAGACAATTTATCAATCTATTAGATACAAAAATATAAAACAGGGTGTTTTATTGAAATTTTTTAAGTTATTTAACTTTTAACAAACTTCTTAATTTATTAATCTTTACAAATGCAAAACACTAAAAAATTGCTACAGCTTTAAATTCTTTATTTTCTTTCTTGCAGAAGTGAGAAAAAAATTGTTCTAGCTGTTTCAGTTTTTGTGTAATAAAATTTTAAGAAGTGCATGTTTTCGTCAAAAAAACTTCTTATTTCTAAAACTAAGCGAAATCGACTAATAAAAGTTTAGCGTAAAAACATTGTTTTAAAAGACTACATCCAAAAATGTAAAGAAACATAAGATGTTTCATTTAAAAAGACACAAGTTTGTATCGTAACTTATTTTTGGGACATGCTCTATAGTTGAAAATAATTTTAGGTGAGACACTAGATTAGTATATATCAATGTCATATAGATTTTTTAAAATTTTACCATTTAAAGGTCACTAATAGACTACAACTCGCTGGGACAGCCTGTATGTATAACACACCATTACTACTGTTATAACATGCCTTCAATTAACTTTGATGGCATATTTAATTGAAAGATCCATACAATGTTTTTCTTATACTCTTGAAAGGTAAGTAGCATTTGACTCTTTAAATTATTAAACAAAACATTAAACAAATTTTAATTGAATTTAAACCATCGCAGCATAAAACCGTCATAAGATCCGGGACATTTTTCAAAACTTTGACAAATATCAAACTCTTATCCTCCAAATAAATCCCACTTTTAATAGCWAAACACATCAAATATTAGTTGATTTTTAGTGTATCTTTCATCAATAACAAGTTATTAATATTTTCTACAAGTTAGGTGAACAAGATTTTATAAAATCAAAAATGGTGGATGCGCCGGGTAACACAAATTCAATTCTTATAAAAAATATTTAAATTAAAACAATCGAACAAAATAAACAAAACTCCATATTGTACACTTCCTTTTTTAAGATAAAAAACTACAGATAGAAAAATGTCAAATATTAAAATTACAAAATCGAAATATTTTAGAGTAACTTTTATCCCTATATTAAGTACATATAAATAAATGTTTTTTTTTTATTTTATGTATCTGAAAAATTGCATTCTGTGAAATTCTGAAAAATTAAATTCTGTGATCATTTAATAACTCGACTCAATTTAAATAACTCAAACAGGACTATAAAAAGGTATACCAAATAAGCTTTAATCAAAATTTTAATAAAAGATTTAATTTAATTTAAAGTTTCTTGAAAAAAATAAAAAAATTATAATTTGTTCATTAATTGTGGCTTAACAAAGTAAAAGATGRCTTTGAAGTTGTGCATCTGCATTACAAATCCCATTGTTTAGTTCCTCGTTGTCTTCAACAATCTAATTGTGAATACTCTGTACCTCGATCACAACGATTTTCTGTTTCTTAAGAAGTTAATATCAATTATTTGTTAAAAGATTTACAGATACGCGCATGATTTTTATGAAATAAATAAATAGTAAAATTTCAATAACAGTCCAATCAACGCGAAAATTGTAAAATGCATAGTGGAATATCGAAATTTTGATTTCATGACTATCTATTTTTGGGTTAGTTAGGAAGTAAACATACTAAAAGTTTCCGGCCCTCCGAAGAAAGCGGGGCTCAAGGGGCATCAAGAATTTGCTGTTTGATGCTTTTTTGTTTACATCCAGAAAACGGTGCATAGTATAAAAAAATAATTTTGCAAAAAATTTAAGTTTATAATTTTTTTACAAGACGATCTTCTCGGGTTTTTTGTACCTATCTCAAATAGTTTTCAAAAATATGCGTTAGCAAATATCGCACTTTAAAAAAAATAATGAATTAATATCGTATTAACGTAAAGCTTGTTGTAAAAGTTTTAAGCATTGTAACTAAGCAGAGTAAACTCGACTATCATAATGATGTAAAGAACCAATCTCTTTAGATTTTTTAATTCATTAAAAAATGTAATACAATGATGTGATTGGTCCGTTTGAAGTCGGCCATCATTAAAATGTGAGTAACCATAGAGAAGCCAATCACTTTGGCTTTAGTTTCATTCAAAAGTAACGAAATTGGTTAATTCATGTTTGCATCCATTCATTGTTAATTTCGATTTTTAATAGAAATTTTGTAAATGCCCCCTAACTTAAAATTTACAAAAAGTGGGAGAAAAATATATTTTTTAAAGAGTGCGATATTGGCTAGAAGATATCTCAAAAACAAAAAAAAGGAAAAGAAGAAATGTTAAGATTTAATTTCATTTTTTCGTAACATTCACCGTTTCATACCACAAAACGGCTCCTTGGTGCCCCCCCTGCGCCCATCTCACCTCGGAGGGCTGGAGACTTTTGATATGTTTATCTCCTACAGTCACAGCCCTGAAGCCAAAAATTTTGTTCCCGACCATGTAATAAATAGTTATTTTTTTCATAAAAAGCTTCAACAACACCAGAATTTTAGTTAAAAATATTGCGTGAATAAATAAATCCTCGATTAATTTCCATGTTGCAATTTTGTTCTAAATTAAAAATCTCCCCTATGGTGCACCAAATAGACCGCAATAAACCGAGTAACTCAATATTATTCTACATGCACAATACAATAATTTAATATGCTGAAACTTAGTTCAATACATTGTAATCATCACTTCACATCCAATATCAGTCGGTGTCGAACAGTAGAACAGTAATAATAATAATAATAACAACACAAATAACTAGAAATCACTTACATTGTTGTAAATAATATTTGAACATGATACTTGTACTAATTGGAAATGATAAATCCCGATTTCATAATGGAAATTTCATTTTTGTTAAAAAGCATTAACTCTTTGTTACGTTATTACCTACTGAAATAAAGTGTTTCTATTTGGAACAATCTGTAAATCGGCCATTGCTATAACAACAATAGACAATCTGCTATCATGTTCGTAAAAGCTTTATGAACTCTTCCTTCTACACGGTAAACTAATTTACTGTAAGTTTTAGTGATATTTTTATGAACACTAAATATAAATTGTATTCGGTATGATTCAGGAAGCTGATTTCAGCTTCTAGTCTTAGATTGTTTAAATAACTTGTTGATACTCGTAATTAACAAGAATCTTTGACAAAAACGTACGTGGTAAATAAATTATCATTCTTAGAAGCCACATTCGAGTTAGTTGGTTTTTAAATTCGCCAAGAAAATATTAAAAATTGGATTTTTTAAAGTAACTGCATTTTGACTATGAAACGATCAAATTCTAGTCAATGATATTTATTCAATCCTCTATGTTAAAATTGAATTTTATCTACTCTTTTCTTCATGATAAAATGAAATTTTATCGTCTAGATGATCCATTGTTGTTTATCTGCGGTTGTTAGTTGCGAACGRTCTTTGACATTAGATTTCATTGTTGAATTTTACTTTGACATTTATAAATATCGACCAAATCGACTACAAAATTAGTGAGGATTAAATAAAATTTTCTATTGTACMCGACGATCAAATTTTCATTATCTTTTCGAGCATATTAGCTCTCAAAGATAAAATYCAATTTTATTGTCTTCTATAATAAATAACTATTCAAACCCAGCAGTAAAGAAAACAAAGATTGTTTTAAGTTTTTTCAAAGCTCTCAACGTATCTGCTTGCAAACTGAACATGCATAAAAACAAATTCATTCGTTAACTAATTTTTTATCTTCGGTTTGGAGCTTAAAGATAAACAAAAACTTTTTTTTTCATTTTCTAAAAAATGT